ATAGGGGACACGCTCCCGGGCCCGCTCCTCCACAGTAGCGGAACTGCGGTGGGAACAGCCCCCTTCAGAGCTGCCTGGCCCAGCACTAGGCCCAGCCAGGGACACGATGTCCGAGCTGGCCCGCGCCAGGTGGGCCACACCCAATCCCCGAGCCTCTTCGGGGTCCAGACCGCAGAAGTTGAAAAAGCGCTCCAGGTCAGCTGCTGCCCTGGAGAAACGCTCACTCAAGTCTGACTTAGAGCGCTGTAGGCCCAGTGGCCGGCTGGGGCTGGAGGCCGCAGCAGTGCTGGGTGATGGGCAGGGCATAGCAGGAGAAGCGGGCAGTGGGAGGACATCCACGCGGCGGACTGCGGTTGTACTGGGTGGTGGGCGTGGAGGAGTGGCTGGGGGCGCCTGGCGGGCTCCCTCTGCCCGTCCGGGGGTACGGCTGGCCTCCGCAGGGGACACGGGAGTATCACACAAGTCGATGAGGCTGCTAAGGATGTCCAGGTCCAGCTGGGGTCGGCGGCCAGGGCCAGGCAGGGCTCTGCGGCTAGGCGTGAGCACTGTGCGGCGAGTCCCAGGGCTAAAGAGCGGTTGTTTGCACAGCAAGGGCTGCACGGGTTCCTGACGGGTGTTGGCCACGTGCAGGCTCTTGACATACTTGGCCTTGTCGGCTTCCAGGCGCTCCACGGCGCTCAGTTTCCGGGCTCCACCATCTGCAGGCCTCCGTAGCAGGTAGCCAGGGACCTTGGTCCGCAGGCGGAAAGGTAGCGCAGGGGCAGCCGGAGCTCCCGGAGTTAGCGTGTCCACCGGCATTGTTGTAACATACCCCGAGGGCTTCAGTCTGAGGAGACTAGAGAAATGAGGAGACAGAGATCCTGGCAGAAAGCTGGCAGCTGGATGCCGGCAACCGCTGCGGTGAAGGAAAGAAAAAGCTGAAAACGTTCAGACAAAGGCTCAGCCAAGACTGAGCCAGGCTAAGACGACTTTCCCATTATAAGCTAGAGGCCACGCCCCTGCCTACAGGGAACCAATCAGCAGGCAGCAAGCAACAGCTGAAGTGCCTGTGGCCCCACCCACATTCCCTCCCTCCTAATGGGCAGACAAGGCCCTGCTGAGGCAGAGAAAGAAAAGCACTGGGAAGAAAGACAAGGGGCTTGAGCAGAAAGGAGCGGCCAAGGCACGGTCTAAAGGGGCAAAGTAGGCACCAGCAGGCTTAACCTCACTGTCCTCTTAGCAGCCCCATTTCGCAGATGGGGAAACTGAAGCCCAGGGAGGCAAGCCACCTCGCTTAAACTAACCCAGCGAATTAGAGGCTCTGCCCTTCGCCTCTAAGCACGGAGGCGCCAGGTGCTGGCACTGGGATGTTGAGGTTAACTGACCAAGAGAAAGGGTTCTAGCCCCACACCTCCTGGACTGCCCACAAGAAGTCTGGTGCCACCTCCACCCCTCACCCACCCAGGCAGGAAGCGGCCCTGTGCCATCTACCCGCCTAGACATGCCAGGCCTCAGGCAGAGGAGCAGAGCTTGTAGAGGAGTAGAAAATCCCCACCCCCAGCCCAGCAGAGTCCACACTGGCAGCTTCCAGAACAGAATTCCAGTGCCAGACCCAGGACGATCCACAGATGCCTCTCAGGCAGCTCCGAGCTATGCTTCCCCAAGAGGGGCTGGAAATGCCCATGATCACACAGCCCTGCACGGAGGCAGCCTGGGATGGGCACTTCTAGGCAGGAGGACCCACGCCTGGGTGCACAAGTATCCACATGGTCACCCAAGCGTCGGGGCCTGCTGCCCCAGGCATTAAGCCAACCTTTGTCCCTGTTTCCAAGGAAAGGCTGGGACCACAAAGCACCACCTCCACCCCAGGCCCTTTGAAGATGGGGCAGAAAAAAACTCATACACCAAGACCTGAACCTTCTCATCTGTAAAATGCAAGGGGATGAGGAGTACTTAGCCCAGGAGATCCTCCAGAGGACTTGAAGTTCGGGCCATCTAGACCTGTACTTTGCAATTTGATGGCCAGCAGCTACACGTGGCTTTGCAACTTTAAATTTAAATTAAATTAAAACAAAATTTGGGGCCAGCAAATTCGGGGCCAGCAGGTGGCATAGTAGCTAAGGCACTGGACTCCCACATGGAAGATGACGTGGTTCAAGTCCCAGACCTGGTGGCTTGCTTTCTCACTCTCCCTTTCTCTTTCTCTGTGTCTCTCTCCAGTCAAATTAAAAAATAATAATTAATGGGAACCAGCAGTTAGCATAATGGCTATGTCACTGGACTCCCACGTAGTCAACCACGGTTCGCGTCCCGGACCCAGTGGCTTAAAACTCACGCCGGGCGCATGTGCATGGGTGCCCAAGATCCCGAGAGGAGAATGGAGAAGGGATTGCGGCATGACCATCCCCCCTGGGGAGTGATTTCTCCCTTTCTGTCTCTATGTCTCTGTCTGTCTGGCGAGCGCACGCGCCCTATAGTGAAAAACCTCTCCAAAAAATAATAATAATAATAATTAATAAAATTAAATAAACAATTCTTTTTTAAAAAAGAAATGTGTGTGTTTAAAAAAAAAAAAACCTTAAAATTCAGTTCTCAAATCACCATACCAGGCAGCAGAGACTAGAGTATTTCCAGCCATGGCAGAAAACTATACTGGACAGCCCCACCTAAACATCAGAAATCTAGGGGGGAGTAGGTCTGACAGGGTGGGAAGACTGGGATTACATGAAACATTTTACATCGCCTTCTCCCCTAACCTCCAACAAGCCTGTGAGTCACTGCCACCCCATTTTGCAGATGGAGAAACACAGACTCAGAGACGTGACCACCCCAGACTGGATAAGTAAGGCACAAATGCATATGAAGCCTGTGACCACAGTAGTTTCAATACTGTACTGTTTCTCCCTGCAGCAGCCCCAACCCCCACCTTGTCTATTTCTTTTCTCCTTATCACCTTTACGAGTGCCATATAATTCACTCTATTATGTTTATGGTTACCTCACTCTCCATTATCCCCCACCCCCTAAAATATCAGCTCCATAGCGCAGCGTTCGTTCACTGCATCTCAGTTCCATGATGTTGCTCTAGAAACACAACAGGTATTCAATAAATAGTTATTGAATTGAAACACCCCTGGGAGCCAGATGTGAACTGCAGACCAAGATAAGTAGAGTAGGCACATCCGGCCCACTGCAGGAGGGTGGGTCCAAGGTGTAGGTGAAGTGTTCTAGGAAGCTGCAAAGCCACAAGTGCACGAAACTGCAAGATTCTTAACCATTAACACATTCAATAATCATTTTTAAAACACTGCATGCAGGGACCAGTAGGTGGCATGGTGGATAAGGTGGCTCGACTCCCACGTGGGAAACCACAGTTCTAGTCCCAGATCCAGCAACTGGTGTGTGTGCGTGCATGCCCGAAATTCTGAGAGGAGAATGGGGGAGAAAGGGTTGCAGTGTGGTTATTCCGGGGGCAGGGGTGATTTTTCATTTTCTGTCTCTGTTTCTGTCTCTCGGGCAAGTGCTTTATAGCAAAGATCTCTTTAAAAAATAAAAAAATAAACTACATGTATTGGGACAAACGAATCAGGTCTGCAAACATATCTGAACCCCCTCCTGGATCTGGCCCCAAACACCCCAGTTGGAGACCCTTGCTACAGTGAAGAACTGGGAAAAGAATCTTGGGGGCCGTTTAGCGCGAGCCAGTGCTGCTCCAGAGGTAGCCGGGGTCGAGTGTGGGGGCAGGAAGGCTCACCCACTCAAGGCCAACCTCCAGAAGACCTCAGGCAGGAAGGGTCTGACAGAAACGCTGCTTAAATGAGCCCGGTGGAAGTATCCAGACTCTGCCCCACCCCGGGGCTGCCGCCTCCCAAACCAGTCCAACCCGTCTGCAGCGGCGGCGGCGGTTCCCCCCCGGGCACCATCCGAGAAAGAGGGAGGAAGGAGGTCAGACAGGCAGGGCCCAGGCATAAGCCCTCTCCCGCCGCTGCTCAGATCCCCACTTCGGCCCGACCTGCTGGCCCTAGGGTCCTCTTCACCAGGGGCGAGACAGATGCGCGAGGTCAAACCCGGCTTTGGGGCTGCCGACCCCGGTCTGGGACTCGCCCACCTGCCGGCTGTGCTCCTTGCGTAACCAACTGCAGCTCTGGACAGACTCGGTTTCCTTATCTGTTAAATGCAGCTAAAAATAGACCTTCCTGAACCTCCAGGTCACCGTAAGGATGGAGCTATCAAACAGGTCGAGGGCTTTCCTCTGCACCTGGCAAAAAGGCTGCGCTCCACGAACCAGCCCCCTTGTCTCCTGACCTGGACGATCCCAATCGGCAGAGCGGCCCCATCCCTGGGTCTCTAAGCACGCTCCGCTCCACAACCGTCTGGCCAACCCGCCGCAGACAAAGGAGGTGCAGGACGGAAGCTAGTCAGCAAGCTGACCTGTACGAGCCCCATCTCACAGGCGGACAAACGGAGGTGCGGGGGCTCCTGGTGGGTGAAGCCGGAGTCCCAGCCCCCCAGGGGGGTCTCATTGTACTAAGGCCTCCTCTCACCGCCCAACGCCCCACCCACAGATTCAAACGCTAACCACGAATCCCCCAATTCCGCCAGCCCCAGGCCCTCCTTGTTGGCATCCCCTGGGCACGTCGCCCCACCTCGCCCCTTCTCACCCCACTGCCTGGCATCAGCCTCAGGAAGCCGCCGAGAGAGACTGGGGGAAACTCAGGACACCAGACTGGCTTTTTCCCTCCCGCACTCCGGGGCAATCTTGGGGACTCCTGGCAGCGGCGGGGGGGGGGGGGCCGGGG